CGTTCGATGGGCTGAACTGCACAAAACGCATGATCGCACCGGCTAGTCTGGTGCGCGTTGCCATTTGTTCTCCTTGCTGTGGTAGTTATTGGTGCTGCATTAACTGGGGGTCATTCTTTAACTGATCCTGGCTTTCGTTCTTTTTTTTCACTCTTTTACTTTCATTCCCAGGAGAGAAGTGCTTCATGAGCACTATCCCTTCATCGCTTGTGCGTTCTTAAGCTGATTGAAACGGTATCCTTAAACCTTTTTCCAATGGGTGTTGCTCGTCAAAAAACTGTATCTGGAATCCACAGCAGCAATATTTTTTAGGGGCGCTGAGGGCAACAAAGAGTTGGTCACATGGCCCTCGTATTTCCTTATTTTTGGTCAGTCGACTGGCAGTTGCCTTTGTTTTGAACAATTTTTTCCCGACAGGAGACTCATCTTATAGCTGATATGCACAAAACAGATTGTTCAGATGAATCGAGGTACTCGTGATGTGCAGGTGGATGCTCATCCACGAGTGGTGAGCAAATATGTGGCGTGCCGACCAAACTCTCGCCATAAAACGACCGACATTGAAAAGGGCGACTTGTTCGATGAGGTTGAAGAAAGGCTCAAGCTTTGTCAAGGCGAACTAAATACAACCCGTCGACAGGTTGAAGTACTGCAGCAAAAGCTTGTCGACACGGTATGTTTTCAGATTCACGATATACGTCTTATTTCGCAGTGTGACATGTTCGACCGAAAAATAAGAGTCATTCGTAAAAAGAACGTAGGAGTGATATAATTTAGGAATAAGATACTGAAAAAGTGCGAGAAATGGGAAGAAATAGTTCCTGTACAAAACCACATCATTGTCACTGCAAGGTTTCACATTTAGATACGGTACTTCTCTTTTCCGAAGCTCAGGTTCGCATCGTGTTGAAAGCAAGAGTGTGTTGCCAGTACACTACATCAGTTTGAATTCAGATAAAACTTTTTACGGATTTTATCCTCAGGAACTGACAGACCTATTCTGAGAGGTACTGTGCTGCTGTTTTGGTCTTTAAATTTGGTTTTAGGTAGAGCAGCGATTGGTGCGCGCAAAATTCAGTCCCATCAAAATTCTGTCTCCAGTCAAAGAGCTTAGCATTTCAACAATTGGAAGCGATGAAAGAGACGAATCGCTGACTGCTGATTTCAAGGAGCAGTTGGAAGAGCTAAAAAAACAAAACGAAGATTTGGCAGCCCGCCTTCAAGAAAGTGAATTCGGAAGGCAAAACCTGATAAGCAGTCAGCAGCAACAAATCGCTCACCTTGTTTCCGAATTTGATGTCGTTCGAAAAGAATTAGATCAGGCATCAGCTTTTATTAAAACAGCAAGCACACACTAGCAAGTATATTTTGATAA